TGTATGCCTGCAGGCCAGAAGAGGACACCAGACCTCATTACAGACACCAGACCTCATTACAGATGGTTGTGAGCCACCATGTGGTTGCTGGGAATTGAACTCAGGACCTTTGGAAGAGCAGGCAATGCTCTTAACCACTGAGCCATCTCTCCAGCCCCATCTGCCCTTTCTTTATCCCCACCTCACGGCATCTAGTCAGGTTCCAAGGCAGAGTCACATGAGATATGACAAAAGAGAAAAGAACATGAATCAAATCTTCAAACCAATTATTTAGCTTAATTTATTTTTTTTTTAGTTTTTCCGAGACAGGGTTTCTCTGTAGCTTTGGAGCCTGTCCTGGCACTAGCTCTTGTAGACCAGGCTGGCCTAGAACTCACAGAGATCTGCCTGCCTCTGCCTCCCCAGTGCTGGGATTAAAGGCGTGTGCCACCACTGCCGGGCTTAATTTTGGTTTTTTTTTTTCAAGATAAGCTTTCTTTGTGTATCTTTGGCTGTCCCTGAACTCCCTGCATAGACCAGGCTAGCCTTGAACTCACAGAGATTTGCCCGCCTTTGCCCCCGCCTCTACAGAAGCATGCCACCACGCCCAGCAAGGCTATTTTAGTTTATTTGTGTGTGAATGGGTTTTTTTGTTTGTTTTAAGATTTATTAATTTATTATGTATACAGTGTTCTGCCTGCATGTGTGCCTGCATGACAGAAGAGGGAACCCGATCTCATTACAGATGGCTGTGAGCCACCATGTGGGTGCTGGGAATTGAACTCAGGACCTCCCAGAAGAGGCGTGTTCAATGCTCTTAACCTTTGAGTCACCTGTCCATTCCACTAGTACCTCCCCCCTCCACAGCTGGATCCCCCCCCCTCCGCCCCACACTTTCCTGTAATTTTATTTTCTTTCTTTCTTTCTTTCTTTCTTTTTTTTTCTTTCTTTTTTTTTTTTTTTGACACAAGGTTTCCCTGTGTAACAGTCCTAGCTGTCCTGGAACTAGCTCTTGTAGACAAGGCTGGCCTCAAACTCACAGGGATCCACCTGCCTCTGCCTCCCTAGTGTTGGGATTAAAGGTGTGCACCACCACCGCTGGGCCCTCCTGTACTTTTCTTGATCTTAATAGATTTAATAGATTTGGCAACTATTTGCCTTTCTGTGGGCAGAAAGTCCTTATTTTCTCAATTTCTTTCTTTCTTTCTTTTTTTTTTTTTTTTTTTGTTTTTTGGTTTTTGGAGACAGGGTTTCTCTGTGGTTCTGGAGCCTGTCCTGGAACTAGCTCTTGTAGACCAGGCTGGTCTCGAACTCACAGAGATCTGCCTGCCTCTGCCTCCCAAGTGCTGGGATTAAAGGCGTGCGCCACCACCGCCCGGCTTCTTAATTTTTCTTTTCAAACATTAAAATGTGTTTATTGTTACCGTGTGCCTGCGTGTTCACGAAGAGGGTTGCATTATACCACTGCACACACACGGTTCAACTACTTTGTGGTGTCGGTTTTCTTCCTTTTGCCTCAACTTGGGCTTCAGGATAGAATTCAAGTTCCCAGAATTGTACAGCAAACGATCCTCCTGTGGACTAACTCAGACTTCACAGAAGGCATTCAAAGAGCAAGCGTGCAGGCACACTAGATGTTTGTTAAAGGCAGGATTCTTCCCCTGCCTGTCTGGAATCTAAGATAGTCTCAGAAGCCTAAATGCCCTGGTTACATGACAGAGCGTTGGCTCCCAGATTCAACTGTGGGAATGCCTTTGAGAAGGGACACCTTAAAGCTTCCATAGACAGCATGCATTTAGTATCTCGTGGGTAATTAAAAAAAAAAAAAGAGTAGCAGCCACCCTGGTGGTTCACGCCTGTAATATTGCACTTGGGAGGCTGAGGCCGGAGGACTGCCTTGAGCCCAAGACCACACTAAGATAGAGTCACAGGTTAAGAAAACTTTTGTCGAGACTGAAGGAGGCACAGATGCTGCTCAATTCGTGACTACCGGAAAGCCAAGTGAGGACTTAAAAGCCACAGTCTGAGCGAAGAATTCTGTGGGTGATGGCGTATGCTTTAGTCTTAGGACGTGAGGGGATCTGGAGCACAAGGCCAACCTCGGCTACATATCAAGTATAAGGCTAGCCCAAAGGAGGTCCTGTCTCAAAAACCTAACAAAGGGGCTCAAGAGTTGTAGCATAAACTTCATGGAGATCATTGCTGCTTGACAAAGTTCCAGTATTCCAACTTTTTGGATCACAATTTCCCAACATTTTTTCACTTTCATTTTTAATGATTCTCCCTATGTGTTCTGGGAGTTTCTGTAGGGCCCATCCACAACAAGCTCAATAGAGGCCTGAGTCTCAGAAGTTTGCCCTAAGGCAATACCTGATTCCACAAACTGAGAACACCCACGCACCACCCAGGAACAGACCACCCAAGGGACATTCCTAGATTTGCCCTACCTCAACTAAGCCCAAGGCTCTCTGATTGTGCTAATGCATTGGGCACATAGGGAGTCCAAGTTTGAATTTGAATAAAGTTTTTTTTTATTTGCTTTTACACACAGGATTCAGTGTCCTTGTTGGTGTTGGGGGGGGACCCTGCAAACTGGGCATAACAGTTTCTTTATACCCTTTCCCTTTGGGAAATTTGGTGTGGACTTTCATTATGCCCAAATCCGTGGGGTCCCCACAAAAGCCAACAAAGGAGACCGAGTCCCATATGTAAAAGCAAAGAGTCTTTATTTTAATCAAGTTTGCAAACTCGGTCTCTCAGCACGTCCAACATATTGGAATATCCGGAGAGCCCTGAATTCAATTAAAATTGGGTTTTTATAGTAGTAAAGGTGGGGGGTGGGGGTGAGGGGGTCTCTGAAGTTCAGGACCCCTGATTGGATGACATTTGTCTAGGGATGTCCTGGTGAAATACTGGCAGGTGTTTCTATCTACAGTGCTTGGAATGCAGGGATTTCCTTTGAATGGTCTGCTCTTGGGTGGGGGTCGGGGGTAATCTCAGTACCAGGCATCATCTCAGGGTAAACTATTGAGACTCCAGACTCCATTTAAATCTATGGATGGCCAGAGTCCCAGGTGATGATGGTTGGAAGTTAAGAACTCCCTTTGGATGACCTGCCCAGACTTAGCTTTCATGGCCCCCACATTTTGAAGGACGAGAATGTATAAAATGGCAGCCTCTTTAAGCAAAATAATTCTTTGGAAAAAAAAAAAATCTCTGCCAGGCGGTGGTGGTGCACGCCTTTAATCCCAGCACTTGGGAGGCAGAGGCAGCGGATTTCTGTGAGTTCGAGACCAGCCTGGTCTACAAGAGCTAGTTCCAGGACAGGCTCCAAAACCACAGAGAAACCCTGTCTCGAAAAACCAAAAAAAAAAATAAAAACAAAAACAAAAACAAAACTGCAGCTGGGTAGTGGTGGTGTACACCTTTAATCCCAGCATTAGGGAGGCAGAGGCAGGAGGATCTCCTTGAGTTCAAGGCCAAAAAAAAAAAAAGAAAAGAAAAGAAAAGAAAGTTCTTCGCCCAAAGTCAGGCAAAAGTCCCCATTTCCTCAGGGGCAGAAGAAAGTTCCTCTTTACTAAAAAACAGGGCCATTCTTATCTCTGGAGAGAGAAAGTCCTGACCCTTGCATTAACATTAACTGCTGTCTATTAGCCTATCTAGGTCAGTGGTTCCCTCCCATCCCCCCCATCTCAAGCCACACCCCCACCTCACATTCTTCCTCTCCTAACCCCCAACCCCCAATCCCTGTACAACTATAGATTACAAAAGGTGTATTCTTTTCTTCAATAAACTGGCGGGCAGCCATCCCGGTTCACCCTCAGGTCCTGTCAGCCTCTTTTCTACCCCCTTGCTCCATAAGTCCTCTTTGGAACCGTGTGTTCACAGCACCCATGTGGTAGTTCACAATCACCCATAACTTCAGTTCCAGAGGGCCCAGCGTCCTCTTCTGACCCCCCTCCGGGGGGGGGGGCACCAGGTACACAAGTGGGGGCCATAAATATATGCAGGCAAAGCACCCATACACACAAAAACAAACAAGCAAACAAAAACTTAATTTTTGAATTCAAGTCACAGGAGATCCAGAAAGATTTCTATATATACAGATTTCCTTTAAGGTCAGGTGTGAGACAATTTTTTTTTTTTTTTTTTTTTTGGTGAGACAATTTCTTTTTTAAGACAAAGTTTCCGATAGCCCAGGCAGGCCTGAAAACTTGCTTTGTGAAGCTGGGCGGTGGTTGCGCACGCGTGTAATCCCAGCACTTGGGAGGCAGAGACAGGTGGATCTCTGTGAGTTCAAGGCCAGCCTGATCTGCCAAGGGAGTTCCAGGACAGGCTCCAAAGCTACAGAGAAACCCTGTCTCGAAAAACCAAAAAAAAAAAAAACCAAAAAACAAAAACAAAAAAAACAAACAAACAAACAAAAAAACTTGCTTTGTGGAAAATCTGGCCCTGAGCAACAGCTGACCTCCTAAATGCTGGAATGTTAGGTGTCTACTACCAAGCCTGATTTGTGTGTGTGTGTGTCTAAGGCAGGATGACATGACAGAGTCTAATCTCTATCTATAGGAATATAGTTTTTATGTAGAGGCAAGAAAAGTCAGATAAATTCTGAATGTTTTTTTTTTCAAAAATACAAGCTTTGAGTAAATTTAATATTTTTTTTTTTTTTTTTTTTTTTTTTGGTTTCCGAGACAGGGCTTCTCCATAGCTTTGGTGCCTGTCCTGGAACTAGCTCTGTAGACCAGGCTGGCCTTGAACTCCTAGAGATCCGCCTGCCTCTGCCCCCCCTCCCCCCTCCCCTTCCCGCCCCAGTGCTGGGATTAAAGGCGTGCACCACAGCCAGGCTTTTTTTTTTTTTTTAAGTAGATTAAAGAGCAATTAATTCCAGCCAGTCACCCTAGGCACTACAGGGGCGGGGCCATGACTGTTGTGACACTGTGGGCGGGGCCTAGCCACCCCTCGCCTTATATAGCCCCGTGCAGGCCTTCAGGGCTACCTGTTGCTGTTGCACCGCTGCTGGCTACTGGCTGCTGTACCTGGTGAGTACCTGAAGGGATGGGGAACTGTTAGAATCTTGGGTTCTGCCAAATTCGGACTTCTGGGTGTTGAGACGGGGCCACAAGCGGGCCGTCACTTCAGTCAGTCCCGGGGAGCGTGGTTCAGCGACAGTGGCTCCAGGGTGGCCGGATATGATTTTTCCAAAGGATGCCTTGACTTAAGGACTTTTGGGTTACCGGGCCTCTCACACCAGCCTGGAATCTTAGTTCTTGCATTCTTGCTCCCATGCTCAGGCACACATAGGTAAATAAAATTTTGTGGTATTTTGGCGCCGTCTATGCTGTGCGTCGCCTCTGTGTATGCCTGAGGAGGTCCAAGAGGACTTGAGAGCCCTCAGAGTTACGGATGGTTGTGAGCCGTCCTGTCTGACTGGGAATTGAGCCTAGTCATTTGCAAGAGCAAGGGGTGTTCTTTTTTATTATTAAAACTTTAACTTTAGCGGCGCACGCCTTTAATTCCAGCACTCGGGAGACAGGCAGGCTGATCTTTGTGAGTTTTTGAGCTGGAGGCCAGCCTGGTCTACAAGACCTAGCTAGTTCCAGGGCAGGCTCCAAAGCTACAGAAAAACCCTGTCTCGAAAAACAAAGAAACAAAAATTTAACTTTATTTTCTGTACATTAGTTTGTTGGTGTGAAGGTGTCAGATCCCCGAGAGTTACAGGCAGTTGTGAGCTGCCATGTGGGTACTGGGAATTGCGTTTAATCATTGATCATCTCTACAGCACACAAAAGAGGTGTTCTTGCTGGGTGGCGGCAGCGGCGCACGCCTTTAAGGCAGCTCTGAGATCTCTGAGCGTCAGGCCAGCCTGGGCTACAAGAGCTAGTTCCAGGAATAGTGTATTTTAAACTAAAAGGTTCAGAGATGGAAAGGGTCAGGTTTCCTTAGGCACTAAGCCATTTCCTGGACTCATTTATTACCGGCTCCCTGGAGGGACCTAGTCCTTTTGGCATCTGCTGGAAAGGAAGACAAGAAGTAACAACCATGTCAGATTATGGAATCTCTACACGATTCCCAGATTAATGGGTTTTGGTCGTGGTGTTTTGATTCCTGAAATTTCTCGGAAATCTAGGTTTTCAATGTGTAGCTGATGGCCTTGACCTCTGTCTGAATCCTTCTGCCACCAGACACACCTAGCTGTTTGTGGGTGCTGGAGAGATAGCTTGGGTTAAGAACAATTGCTCCTCTTGCAGAGGACCCGGGTTTCATTCCCAGCGCCCACACACAAAGGTGCACAAAGCTGCCTGGTTTTCCTTTTCCTTTTTGATGGATGGCATGTATATATTGATCATTTATTGAAAGAATACCTAATGGGCAGTTACTTTAACCTTGTGAAGTGAGGCTGGCCCCTGGGTCACGAGGGGAACTAAAGATAAGAAGGGTACTTAGTTAATGGAGGCGTGGGCCTGACTGGCTGTTAGTCACTATCCCTAGCTAAAGGGCCAACAATCATTTGATATGCTCAGATTGGTTCTTTAGGTTTAGGACTGAGGAAGCATGGCTTTGGGAACTAAAGACTTCTAGGGAAAGAGTCAGGCTGAGAAGCCCTCCCATCCTACAGACAACAGCTCCCCTACAAGGGAAATGATGGACTGGAATGTGACCCTTTCCACTCCGCTTGGGAAACTGTACTGGGGCATGAGGTTCGGGATGTGGCTAGACTCTGTCAGAACCAGAAATACCAATTCCTGGTGCTATATCTCTAAATTTCCCAATGGACTGTTTAGTGCTCCAAAGCCTACTTTACCTCTGAGGCAGGGGTGGGGGCACCACCAACTTCTGAGAAGATCTAGCCAGGCATTTGTGGTTCACACCTTTAGTTTAATGCTTGCTCTCAGGGGGAAGCAGTTGGATCTTTGTTTTTGTTTTTTTTTTTTTCTCAAGACAGGGTTTCTCTGTAGCTTTGGTGCCTGTCCTGGAACTAGCTCTAGTAGACCAGGCTGGCCTCGAACTCACAGAGATCCGCCTGCCTCTGCCTCCCAAGTGCTGGGATTAAAGGCGTGCGCCGCCACCGCCCCGCTCAGTTGGATCTTTGTGAGTTCAAGGCTACCCTGGTCAACCTAGTTATCTGTCAACCAGGGCTACAGAGTGAGAGACTGTCTCAAATGAAAATCAGACCATCCAAACAATACCCCTGACTTAGGGGCGAGTTTGAAGGAGGGCTAGTAAGAGTCACTTCAGGCCTGAGAAGGGACGCTGTGAGTGACCCTGTCTCCAGGTCCTTTGGAAAAGCAGCCAGTCTTAACTGTGGAGCCAAATTTCCACTACTCTGCTACAAACAGGTTCCTACTATTTGGTTTTTAATTTTTTTCTAATTTTAGGCCACTGCTTGGGGACCCGGGGCCTTGCACACACGAACACTGAACTGCATTCCCAGCCGTAGTTTTATGTTTTTCTTTTCATCTGTATATTATATCTATTGTAATCCTCTAAAAAACAGGGATTATCTTTTTTATAGAAAGGGGTCCTTGGCTGTCTTCAAACTTGAGCTGCATTTTTCTTTCAAAGGTATTTCTTTTTAAATTATGTGTAGGTGTGTGTGTGTGTGTGTGTGCCTATATGCACGTGGCTATAGGTGCCCTTGGAGGCCTGAGGCACTGGATATTCTGAAGTTGGGTTGCATTTGGCTGTGAAGCCCTTGACAAACTTGGATCCTCTGGAAAAGCAGTAAGTGCTCTGAACTAGAGATTCCTAGGCCGCAGTGATGCATTTTCTGCTGCTGGAATTCCCTGAGCACAAACCCACTTGTCAAAAACCCCAGTCATAGCCAGGTGGCACTCCCTCTTAGGTGGCAGGCAAAGAGAGAGTTTGAGGCCAGCCTGGTCTACAAGAGCTAGTTTCAGGTCAGGCCCCAAAGCTACAGAAAAACCCTGTCTTGAAAAACAACCAAACCAAAACCAAAGCAAGCAGGCTGATGGGCTGGGTATGGTGGTCATGCCTTTAATCCCAGCAGTCAGGCGGGGAGGCCTAGGCGAGTGAGTTCAAGGCCAATCTGGCCTACAAAGTAGTACACTATGCTAATCAGCTCCTAGCATAGCCTTATATGGAAGGGCCTAACTATTGCAGAATAAATGGAATTAAAGGAAAAGCTGAAATCCAAAGAATTTAGCTTTCCTAAAGTCATCGGGTTTGTTGGGATGAGAAATAGGAGAATTTAGGATTGAAAGTTCTGAGTTCAGTATTTACTGTGGAGGGGCTTCTTTTCGTAGGAGCAATGACAGCAGGGAGCAAAGAATGGGGCTATGGGCAGGCTGCGGTGTCTGGCGCAGATATTAAAAATGCTTATAGCCTAGGACAGTAGGGATGCACACTGCGCAGAGTGAAACAAAAAGCCAGCCTGCTGTTTCAATTCTTGTCAGAATTTTGCTTTTTCTGACTTGTGTGAATAGAAATTTCTTGTGAAAGCCTGGAAGTCTCCCCCAAACCCTTTCTGAATCTTACCCTATTCTATAATTCTATATATTTTTAAATTTCTTCTTTATGGAGGCAGGTTCTCACGTACTCTATTCCATATCTCCTAACAGGACTCCACCATGGAAAATATGATGGAGGATTCCTTCATATCGACTGTCTTGCCAGGATGTGGCGGCTCCTCTCAGGTCGTGTTTAACGGGGTGGAAGACTCCTATGTTCCTGGAGGAGATGTCACGTGCCGGTACAGCTTCACCCGGCAGTTCAACCCTCACCACAATGACTGGATTGGCATTTTTAAAGTGAGTGTTCATTCGTCCCAAGGGGTTGGGATCTAGTGGAGTCTTAGATACCGTGTGTAGGCCCAGTCAGAAAGTCTAAACTACAGTTCCCAGAGCTTTCTCACCACACACCAATTTGTCTTGACTATCGGGGTTAAATTTCAGCCTGCTGAACATCTTTAATTCCAGTACAGGAGCAGAGGCAGGATTTCTGCTTTTGAGGCAGCCTGGTCCTCAGTTCCAGCCGGGACTACATAGTGAGAGCCCTTCTCAAACAAACAAAAAACAAATTTATTTTTAGTCCCAAACTGAAAGATAAAAATTTCACAATCCCCAACTTTTTATTATGTGTTCAAAGACCAAAGACCTATTTCAAGCACTGGAGAGAGAGCATTCACCTAAGAAAACTTAGGTTCAATGCCCAGCACCCACATAGCAGCCCACAACTGTTAAGTGGGCATCAGAATCCTCTTTAGAAACAGCTCTTTGGCCAGGCGGTGGTGGCGCACGCCTTTAATCCCAGCACTTGGGAGGCAGAGGCAGGCGGATCTCTGAGTTCCAGACCAGCCTGGTCTACAAGAGCTAGTTCCAGACAGGCTCCAAAACCACAGAGAAACCCTGTCTCGAAAAACAAAAACAAAACAGCTCTTTGGTTCCCCCTCATGCCCATCAACTTTGTGTGGTCCAGCACAGCAGCCTCCCCCTTCAAAAGTAGGTCACAAAACCAGAACCCCTGGAACGTTTGGTTTGGGGATCTTTCATTACCACACGGTCTGTAGTGGGCCCCATTTCTCAATGTTAAGCTACTATCTGATGTCAAAGCTCAGAGCACCATTAAACAGTCTCTTCAACTCTTCTGGTTCCTTTGGATTATGGCCCCCCACTCCCTGGTGGCAGCAGAGCCTGGAGTCAGGCTGGGGGCCACCAGGTGGCAGTTTTACTTCCCATGTGGCTATTGTTATTTTATTATTACTGTGCTGGCCTATGTCTGCGGGTGACCCTGTGTGGAGGTAGAAACTCTGTTCTCCTGTCTACTTTTCTATTTTCCCAGTTAGGTTTTGCCCTTCTGGGCCATCTAGGACATCCCCAGGTATCCTGGACACACCAGGCTGTCCTGTAACGCACCTAGCTCCACCTGCCTCTGCCTCTCTAGTTTTTGGGTCAAAGATGTGTGCTACCGCTAACTCTGACCCCTAACCTTGCAATGTGTAATATCTTCCTGTTGCAACATCGTTCCTTTTCCCTTCAATAAGGAGCTAGCAACTGCCCAAAAGTGAAAATCTTGTGCTTTATAAACTAAAATATTGAGTTGGTTGTACACTGTACATGCCTTTGATCTCAGCTAGGGAAGTGGCTCGCAGCTGTAATCCCAGCTGACCAGCCAGTTGAGCCAAATTGGTAAGTGGATAGAGTGGGAAGATAGCTCAGTGAGCGCATGCACAGGGCCTGACCTTAAGTCTCAGCCCCACATGCATGCGTGAAAAGGTCCCTATGGCCATGCATGACCTCATTCTTAATCTTGGGGCCTGCCTGGCTGCAGGGTCAGTGGGAGACCATTTCGAAGAATAAGGCAGTGATAGAATAGGATACCTAAAATATACAACATACATTCATAACGAAAAATGAGATCAAGAGGGAGTGCATTGTAGCCCACGCCTTTCTACCCAACACTTGGGAGGCAGAGGCAGGCCAGCCTGATCTACATAGTGGATTCCAGGACAGCCAGGGAGAGTGACTTGGTGAGACCAATGTAGTGAACAAAACAAAACAAACGAGGTGAAAAGGCTGAGAAAGACAGCTAGTGCAGGCCTGGCCACAATCAATGTGCGAGCATCTATACGCATTAACACACACGTGCATGCACGGATACACACAAGCTTTTGCTATGTAGCTCAGGCTGACTTCAATCTCGTAGTCCTTAAGGTTCCACGTGGTTGTAATTATGGGTCAGTCATCATTAGGACTGGCTTCTCAAAACATTCTTACCGGTTCTCTGTGTAACATTGGATAATACAGTTTGGCTGTTTGCTTTGACATTGGCCTGGAACTTACCTTGTAGTCTCATGCTGGCCTCAGCAACCTTCCTGCTGTAGGTACTCAAGTGTAAGGACAGACATGACCTACCACATCTGGCTGGTGACTTAGGAATCAAATCTGAAGCTCATGTAATGGGAGTTGAGAAGTTACAGTTTTATTTCCTTCTTAACTGGAATTTTGAGTGGTGTTTGTTTACCTAAATTTATTTCGATGCTACTTCAATTTATTCTGTTGCTGTTGTGAAACGTAAGTATTTTAGAGGCTTGCCAAAAGGATGGAGACTCAGGCTGAAACCCACTGTATCAGCCACAAGTTAAGAAACATGGTTCCTGCCGGGCGGTGGTGGCGCACGCCTTTAATCCCAGCACTCGGGAGGCAGAGGCAGGCGGATCTCTGTGAGTTCGAGACCAGCCTGGTCTACAGAGCTAGTTCCAGGACAGGCTCCAAAACCAGAGAAACCCTGTCTCAAAAAACAACAACAAAAAAGAAATGGTTCCTGTCATAATGAAATGAATTCAGTATAAATAAATGAAATTTAGGTGCATTTTAAGAAATCTTAGCCGAAGGATTTTCAAGTTTCATCAGTGCTGAATCAAAGCCTCTTTCCTTGCAGGTGGGGTGGGAGACAATTAAGGACTATTACACATACATGTGGGTTCCCGTGCCCAGTCCCGAGGAATTAACCGCGCAGCAGGAGGTACTATTCAAAGGTATGGAAAAAATACTAGGCCAACCCCTTGGCCTCTAGGACAGTTTTGGTATTTGTTTTAAATGGGTTACCTCTTATTTTGTATTAAAAATCACAAACCTCTTTCAGCTTATTATCTGCCCAAGGATGGTGAGAATTACCAGTTCTGCTACGTGGATGAAGATGGCAAGGTTCGGGGAGCGAGTACCCCTTTCCAATTCTGTTCAAAAAGTGAGGAAGACATGCTGGTTGTTACCACTCAGGTTTGTAACCTCCCCTCAAGCTTCTTTCTGTAGCCTACGAGTTCCAGGCTAGGGGGGACTTTGAGACGATAGCAATTATGGACTGACGGTAGATAGATACTTTTGGGAAAAATCATGACGTACACTAATCTATTCAGGGATGACTTGAATAATTTTTTTTTTATTTATGAGACAGGGTTTCTCTAGTTTTTGGTGCCTGTCCTGGAACTAGGGCTTGTACCAGGCTGGCCTCGAACTCACTGATCTGTCTTGCCTCTACCTCCCAAGTGCTGGGATTAAAGGTGTGCGCCACTGCCGCCGGGCCGACTTTAGAATAATTTTAAAAATCAAAGCATGATTTTTCCCTTCTGTAACTTCTGGAACTATTTATTCAATTTTTAAAAAAGTAACACAACCTCAACAACCAACCCCACAAAACTTCTATGACCCAGGCTGGCAGAGATTCAGGGCCGCTTTTCAGCCTCAGCATTTGGAATTCTAAGATTTCAGGAATGTGCAACCGTCCCAGTGTCCCTCATAACTCCCCCTGAACCCCAGACAGTTTTTTTTCTGTGTAGCTGTGAAGCCTGTCCTAGAACACACTGTGTCGAACTCAGGCCTCCCTCATAACTTATGGCGTAAAATTTGCTCTATTTTGTCTCTCCTAGCAGAGGCAGATGTAATTCTGTGATTGCATGGGCAGTAATACTGTGATTGCATGGGGAGGCCCGCCAATGCACCTTCCTCCACACCACATAGCTGCTCTGGCTGGCATGCAACGGGACACTCTAGGGAGTGCCAGTCACTCGGCTGCTCACCTTCCCAACAGGTGGGAAGCTCCTGTGGAAGGAAGGGCTGTGATAAAGGAGCTGTGGTGTCTCTTGCAGGAAAAGGTGGGAGAGATGGAGCAGCGCACTGAGGAGCTTCTCCGAGAAAACCAGGAGCTGAAGGAGAACTGCGCCAGCCTCCATCAGCAGAACATAGATGTGCAGGCAGAGCTGCAGAGGGAGCAGGTACAGATGCTGGCCAGAGGTGAACTTGGGATCACGTACCTGAGGATGACCGGTGTCTGACCCGGTGCTAAATTCCGTTGGCTTCACTCCTGATTGTAATCGGAGATTGCTTGTAATCAGAGAAAGGACCACCATGTGGTTACTGGGAATTGAACTCAGGACCTCTCTGGAAGAGCAGTTTGATTGTCTTTCTCTCCTGGCAAAGACAGACTTCATTATTTGATTCTCTTGCAGGGAAAGGTAGAAGAGATGGAGCAGCGCACTGAGGAGCTTCTCCGAGAAAACCAGGAGCTGAAGGAGAACTGCGCCAGCCTCCGCCAGCAGAAGTCAGATGCGAAGGCAGAGCTGGAGAGGGAGCAGGTACAGATGCTGGCCGGAGGTGAACTTGGCCATGAGAGAATTGCCCTGGCCCTGAACCAGTTTTATTTCGTATTTGCCTTTGTTTTATCTGCTTTGGGAAGAAGAAGAAAGGCAGAGGGGGTCACCAGCCAACAACAGGGGACAAGATCTGTGTGTGTGTGTGTGGGGGGGGGACATCAAAGCCAGGAGTCACATGGCATCGTGTAAATGAATAGAAATGAGTTAATTTAAATTACATGAGCCAGGTGGATGAGGCCTGGAGAAATGGCTCAAGAGGTTAAGATCAGTGGCTGATCTTCCAGAGGCCCTGAGTTCCTGTCCCCAGCACGCATATGGTGGCTCTCAACCATCTATAGTGATGTCTGCGCCCTCTTCTGGCTGGCAGGCGCACACGCATGATGGCAAGAAATTGCATACGTGATAAATCTCTTTCAAAAAAGGAAATTAGGAACCCACCTGAGCTATAGGCTGAGTTTTCAAGGAGAAAGAAGTCTCTGTGGTGCTGACAGGCAGGAGAGTCCCTGTCTTCTAGCACTCTTACGTTGGGGGTCACATGGAGTCTTTTGGCATCTAGCTCAGAATCAACAGGAAGACTCACCTATAGACTCATCTCTGTCTCTACAACTTAATTGCTGTTTATCTGCATGTTGGCACAGGGCTGTGATCTCTCCTCCAGCATGTCTTGCTCCCTCTGTCTGGTTGGAGACACCCCTTTTATTCTCCCAGATCTCTCCGTCCAGTAGTCCTGTCTATAGCCCCTGACTCGCTATTGACCACTTAGGTTTTTATTAAGCCTATCACGGTGCCGCATTGTGACACCGTGTAAAGGACATTCCACAGCAGTGTCCCAGCCCCCACTGCGAGTCTCACCTGGTCACAGGAGAGAGCCAGGTCAGGCGATGCATCCACTCTCCCTAGAGTCTTAGCTGGGGTGTCTACCTGACCCTGAAATGTGTCTCCCATTCTTTCCAGTTATCTCTTATAGTGCTATAGCCCTCCTTGACCCCACCTAACCTGATCGCCCCTGTTCTCACCCCTACCCAGCTACAGTCCACCCTGGAGATCTGTCTTCCCTTTCCATACAGATCCATGCATTCCGCTTGAGCCTTCCTTGTCACATAGCCTCTAAGTTGTGGCATGGTTATTGCCACCCCTTTTTTTGTCACGTGACTTCTGTAGACTGGATGTCTGCGAACTTAGAGAGACCTGCCCTGCCTGGCTCTTCCATATTACCTGTGGCCTAGAGTTTGTTTCTTTCTTTCCTGACAGAGGCAGACTTAGTTCTGTGATTGCACTAGAACGCACACACGCCAATATTTCGCGCCTTCTGACTCACTGGATAGCTGCTCTGGCACCAGTGAGTGCTAGTCACTCAGTTGCTCACCTTCCCAGCTGGTGGGAAGCTCCTGCTGGAAGGAAGGGCTGGAATACAGACGCTGTGATTTCTCTTACAGGAAAAGGTGGAAGACATGGGGCAGCGCACTGAGTTGCTTAGCCGAGAAAACCGGCGGTTGGCAGACCACTGCTTCGTCCTCTTTCAGCAAAACTCAGTCTTGGTGGCAGAGCTGCAGATGGAACAGGTACAGATGCTGGCCAGAGGTGAACTTGGGATCGTGTACATGAGGACTGCAGTGTCTGACCCGGTGCTGTTTTCTATTGGCTAAACTGCTGAATATAATCAGACACTGGACCTTGGTTTCCTGACTGCCCATCCCCGAATAATCACAAACTATAGTAAGATAACTTTGCAGTTGCCCAGTGACTTAGGTGAATTCCTACTTAGCTCTTTTTTTTTTTATTTATTTTTTGATTTTTCGAGACAGGGTTTCTACGTAGCTTTTGGTTCCTGTCCTGGAACTAGCTCTTGTAGACCAGGCTGGTCTCACAGCCTGGAACTCACAGAGATCCGCCTGCCTCTGCCTCCCGAGTGCTGGGATTAAAGGTGTGCGCCACCACCGCCCGGCTCTACTTAGCTCTTATAAATATACAAGTCTGTGGCTTACTGAGAAAGGAAGGCTCTGGCAGCTTTGGCAACTATGAGGCTTTTGCCTGACCCCACCTTCTTTCTCCCTTCATTCAGTTTAGTTTTCCTACCTACTTAGATTCTGCCCTGCCATAGGGCAAAATAGCTTTCTTATTGAACAATGGTTAAAAGAAAGAAAAAACAGGGCCACCTGGGAGTGCCAGTCACTCGGCTGCTCACCTTCCCAACAGGTGGGAAGCTCCTGTGGAAGGAAGGGCTGTGATGAAGGAGCTGTGGTGTCTCTTGCAGGAAAAGGTGGGAGAGATGGAGCAGCGCACTGAGGAGCTTCTCCGAGAAAACCAGGAGCTGAAGGAGAACTGCGCCAGCCTCCATCAGCAGAACATAGATGTGCAGGCAGAGCTGCAGAGGGAGCAGGTACAGATGCTGGCCAGAGGTGAACTTGGGATCACGTACCTGAGGATGCGGTGTCTGAGCCGGTGCTAAATTCCGTTGGCTTCACTCCTGATTGTAATCGGAGATTGCTTGTAATCAGAGAAAGGACCACCATGTGGTTACTGGGAATTGAACTCAGGACCTCTCTGGAAGAGCAGTTTGATTGTCTTTCTCTCCTGGCAAAGACAGACTTCATTATTTGATTCTCTTGCAGGGAAAGGTAGAAGAGATGGAGCAGCGCACTGAGGAGCTTCTCCGAGAAAACCAGGAGCTGAAGGAGAACTGCGCCAGCCTCCGCCAGCAGAAGTCAGACGCGAAGGCAGGGCTGGAGAGGGAGCAGGTACAGATGCTGGCCGGAGGTGAACTTGGCCATGAGAGAATTGCCCTGGCCCTGAACCAGTTTTATTTCGTATTTGCCTTTGTTTTATCTGCTTTGGGAAGAAGAAAGGCAGAGGGGGTCACCAGCCAACAACAGGGAACAAGATCTGCAGGGGATGGGGAGGGAATTATATCAAAGCCAAGACTCACATGGCATCGTGTAAATGAATAGAAATGAGTTAAATTACATGAGCCAGGTGGGTGATGGCTTGAGAAATGGCTCAAGAGGTTAAGATCAGTGGCTGCTCTTCCAGAGGCTGAGTTTCAGTTCCTAGCACCCACATGGTGGCTCTCAACCATCTATAGTGATGTCTGCGCCCTCTTCTGGCTGGCAGGTGCACATGCATGATGGCAAGAAATTGCATACATGATAAATCTCTTTCAAAAAAACATTCTTCTTTCAGGACAAGCTTTCATAATAAAGAGTCTCTGTCTTTATTTGGGAAATGACGGGCAGGACAAAACCTTTTCTTCATGGAAGTTGTACTATAGGCTTGTCCTAGACGATCGCTAGAGTCTTAGCTGGGGTGTCTACCTAACCCTGAAATGTGTCCCCCATTCCAGTTATCGCTCATTACTGTACCCCTCCACCTAACCTGATCCGCCATGTTCCCATGCCTACCCAGCTACTGTCCACCCTGGAGATATTTGTCTCCCCTTTCCATACAGATCCATGCATTCCCGCTCAAGCCTTCTAGTTTGTTTTATCATGGATATCGCCAACTTTTTTATTTTTTATTTTTGTGACAGTACGTCTGTCCTAGAAATCTCTGTAGACCCAATGTCTAAATCCTGTAGAGATCTGCCTATCTCTTTCTCAGAACTTGTGGCATAAGGTTTGTCTTTCTTTGCTGGCAAAGGCAGACTTGAGTCTGTGATTGCACTGGCAGGCATGCCAATGTTTTGTGTCTTCTATCCCACTGCATTGCTGCTCTGGCCAGCGTGTGCCAGGGCCTCTCCAGTGAGTGCCAGTCACTCAGCTGCCCACCTTCCCAGCTAGTGAGAAGCTTCTGCTGGAAGGAAGGGTTCAAATAGAGGAGCTGTAGTCTCTCTTGCAGGAAAAGGAGGAAGAGATGGAGCAGCGCACTGGGAAGCTTCTCAGAGAAAACCAGGAGCTGAAGGAGAACTACGCAAGTCTCTTCCAGCAGAAGTCAGATGTGCAGGCAGAGCTGCAGAGGGAACAGGTACAGATGCTGATCAGAAGTGAACATGAGGATGTGGTGTCCCGGGGCTCCACTACTGATTATAATCGGTGATGGTGTCTGTTTCCTGACTGCTCAGGTCAGAATAATCACAATGAAAGTATTAATATAACACTGGTTTAGCCTATGACTTCGGCGTATTCCTACCTAGTTCTTATATCTTAAATTTATTGATGTCTATCAATCAATCTGCACCTCCACAAGCACATGGCTCAGGTGTCTTTGGCAGCCACAAGAGTTCTGACTCCCTTCTTTCTCCCTGCTTTCCCATCTGCCTGTATTCTGCCCCACGATAGGTGAAAACAGCTTCCTTGTATTATAGAACAATGGTTAAAATTCTTCTTTTTTTTTTTCGAGACAGGGTTTCTCTGTAGCTTTGGAGCCTGTCCTGGCACTTGCTCTTCTAGACCAGGCTGGCCTCGAACTCACAGAGATCCACCTGCCTCTGCCTCTCGAGTGCTGGGATTAAAGGCGTGTGACACCACCGCCCGGCTTAAAGATTTATTTATTATATACACAGTGTTCAGCCTCCATGTATGCCTGCAGGCCAGAAGAGGGCACCAGATCTCATTACAGATGGTTGTGAGCCACTATGTGGTTGCTGGTATTTGAACTCAGGACCTCTGGAAGAGCAGCCAGTGCTCTTAACCTCTGAGCCATCTCTCCAACAATGGTTAAAATTAAAACATTACAAAAAACCATAGCATCCAAAGAAAGAGTAAACATCTCCTGATTGGCTTTTACATTAGCCTTTTAAAAATGTTTCAATGTGGCTGCTTGCTCTTCAGAGTTCAGGGAAGAAGAGAGAGGGAGTCACTACCAGGGGAAAAAGACCCGCTGGAGGAGAGGTCAGAGCCATGAGTCACATGGCAACCTGTAGATGAATACCTTGATTTAAGGTATGAGCTAGTTGTGGGGAGACTGGAGAAATGGCTGAGGATTAGATAGAGCACTGGCTGCTCCTCCAGAGTCCTGATCGCAATTCCCAGCAACTACAGTTTGGGTATCAGCCATCTGTGGGTTCTGGTGCCTTATGGTGTGCAGGCATACATGCAGGCAGAATTCTGTACACATAATTAAGTAAATAAGTAAAGGCTAGTTAGAAATAAGCCTAAGCTATAGCCTGTGCTTTTCATAATTAGTAAGAAGTCTCAGTGTCATTGTTTAGCTGTTGACTAGCGCGGCAGAGAAAGACTTTCTTCATATTGCACCCCACTTTGGGCCTCATACATGGACGAATTTTCCTTTGGGCTTCCAGTTCACATATTAATTACAAAACTCGGTCTTTGCCATTGTTGTGTCCCTCTGACTTCTCTAAATTAAGACGTTTCATCATCTCAGTACTCTCTGTCCAGTAGTCCTGCCTATATCTCCTGCCTCGATATTGGCTCTTTAAACTCTTTAAACCAATCACATTGCCACATCTTATCACAGTGTAAGGGAATATTCCACAGCAGTGTCCCAGCCCCTCCCACTGGAAGTATTTCCTGGCAAAGACAAACTTATTTCTGTGATTCTCTTGCAGCGAAAAGTACAGGATGTGGAGCAGCACATGGAGAAGCTTCTCCGAGAAAACCAGGAGCTGAGGGAGAATTGCACCAGCTGGCAGAAGCTGAGCTTATGCAGGCAGGAAGTGTTAAAGAGGAAGCAGGTACAGATGCGGGTAAGGGTATAGTCATGTAGATGTGGATTGTGGTGTCTGACCCAGTTTGGGTGCTGTTTGACTATAATCAGAGATTGTGCTTTTGTTTCCTGACTGCCCAGGCCCGAATAATTACAAAGAAACTATTAATTATAACACTGCCTGAACAATGACTTAGGCATATTCCTACCCCAGCTCTTGTTTCTCAGATTTCTCGATTTATAGTAATCCTTGTATCGCCACACTACGGTGTCTTTGGCAGCTACACGTCTCCTGTCTCCAGTGTCTTTCTCAGTTGTTTAGTTTTATTTATTTTTTTTTGGTTTTTCGAGACAGGGTTTCTCTGTGGTTTTGGAGCCTGTCCTGGATCTAGCTCTGTAGACCAGGCTGGTCTCGAACTCACAGAGATCCACCTGCTTCTGCCTCCCAAGTGCTGGGATTAAAGGCATGCGCCACCACCGCCCTGCCAGTTGTTTAGTTTTAGTTTAGAAATTCAGTTTAGTTTTCCCTCCTACCTACATTCTGCCCTGTCATAGGGAAAAACAGACCATTTTTGTATAACAATGGTTTAAAAAAATGCAGAGCGCATACAAAGGGAGATCCAACATCACCCGATTTATAATTGCCTTTTACATTGTATCTTAAACAATTTTGTGTCTTTTTAAATGTTTTGATGAGGTTGCCATTGAGAGTTTTGGGAAGACGAGAAAGGGAGTCAGTACCACAGGGAACAAGATCTGGTGGAGAGGTCAAAGCCACGAGTCACAGGACAACAAGCAGATGAATAGAAATGTGTTCATATAAATTACGTGAGCAAGGTGGGTGATGACTGGAGAAATGGCTGAGGAGGTTCAGATCACTGTCTGCTCTTCCAGAGGCCACGAGTTCCAGTCCCCAGCACCTACATGGTGGCTCTCAACCATTTGTAGTGACATCTGGCGCCCTCTTCTGGCATGCAGCCGTACATGCATGATGGCAAGAAATTGCATACATAATATCTCTCAAAAAAAAGCAAATTAGAAACCCGCCTAATCTATAGGACAAGCTTTCATAATGAAGAAAGAGTCTCTGTCTTTATTTGGGAAATGACGGGCAGGACAAAAACCTTTTCTTCATATGGAAGTTGTACTATATAGGCTTATCCTTCTGGCCCTACAACTTATGCTGTTTATCTGCATGTGGACGCAGGGCTGTGATCTCTCCTCCAGCATGTGTTGCTTTCTAGGTGTCTGGTTTGAGACACCCCCTTTTATCCTCCCAGAGCCCTCTGTCCATCAGCCCTGTCTGTAGCCCCTGACTCGCTATTGACCACTTAGGTTTTTATTAAACCTATCACCGAGTCACGTGTAAAGGTGTAAAGGACATTCCACAGCAGTGTCCCAGCCCCCACTGCGAGTCTCACCTGCTCACAGGAGAGAGCCAGGTCAGGCTATGCATCCCCTCTCACTAGAGTATTAGCTGGGGTGTCTACCTGACCCTGAAATGTGCCCCCCCATTTCAGTTTTCTCTTACAGTACTGTACCCCTCCATTCACCCCACCTAACCTGATTACCCTCTGTTCCTACGTCTACCCAGCTAAGGTCCACTCTTGAGGTCTTTGTCTTCCCTTTCCATACAGATCCATGCATTCCCACTTGAGCCTTCCTTGTTACATAGCCTCTCTAGTCTGCGTTGTAACGTGGTTATCACCACCCTTGAAAGATTTATTATGTATACAGTGTTTTGTCTACAGACCAGAGAAGGGCACCAGATCTCATTACAGATGGTTGTGAGCCACCATGTGGTTGCTGGGAATGGAACTCAGAAATGGAATGGTCAGTGCTCTCAACCTCTGAGCCATCTCTCCAGCCCTCACCACCCCCCTTTTTGAGACAGTACTTTTGTCCTAGAACTCTCTGTAGACCCAATGTCTACATCTTAGAGACCCGCCTGTCTCTTCCTCAGAACTTGTGGCCTGAAGTCTGTCTTTCTCTGCTGGCAAAGGCAGACTTGAGTCTGTGATTGCACTGGCAGGCATGCCAATGTTGTGCCTTCTGCGTCACTGCATAGCTGCTCTGGCTGGCATGTGCCAGGGCCTCTCCAGTGAGTGCCAGTCACTCAGCTGCCCACCTTCCCAGCTGGTGAGAAGCTTCTGCTGGAAGGAAGGGTTCAAATAGAGGAGCTGTAGTCTCTCTTGCAGGAAAAGGAGGAAGAGATGGAGCAGCGCACTGGGAAGCTTCTCAGAGAAAACCAGGAGCTGAAGGAGAACTGCGCGAGCCTCCGCCAGCAGAAGTCAGATGTGCAGGCAGAGCTGCAGAGGGAGCAGGTACAGATGCTGGCCAGAGGTGAACTTCGATGCGGTGTCTGACCCGGTGCTATTTTCTGTTGGTTTCACTACTGATTTAATCAGAGATTGAAACTATTAAATTAATACTGCTTAGCCTATGACTTCGGCGTATTCCTACCTAGCTCTTATATCTTAAATTTATTGATGTCAATCTGTGTATCTCCACAGGCCTGTGGCTAACTGAGGGGCTCGGTTGTCTTTGCCAGCTACAAGGGTTCTCTTTGACTCCACCTTCTTTCTCCCTGCATTTAGTTTTCCCATCTGCCTATATTTTGCCCTGCAATAAGGCAAAACAGATTCTTTATTGAACTATGATTAAGATAAAAAAAAATTAAAAAACATTCACAGCATACAAAGGGGGATCCAACATCACCTGAATTATTGGCTTTTACATCTGATGCCTTCTAAAAATGTTTCAATGTGCTGCTCTCCAGAGTTGGGAAGAAGAGAGGGAGTCACTTAACAGAGGGAACAAGACCCGCTGGAGGAGAGGTCACAGATCTGAGTCTCATGACTATGTAGTTTGGGTATCAGCCATCTGTGGGATAGGGTGCCTTAGGGTGTGCAGGCATACATGTAGGCCGAACACTGTATACATAATAAATTGAGTAAATAAATAAAATAAAGGCTAGTTAGGAATAAGCCTAAGCTATAGGCCGTGCTTTTCATAATTAATCAAATCTCAGTGTCATTGTTTAGCGTGTCCCTCTGGCTAAGACTTCAATTCATTTCAGCCCTCCCTCTTTGTCCAGTAGTCCTGCCCACATCTCCTGCCTCGCTTTTGTCTTAGCTTTTCATTAAACCAATCACATTGCCACATCTTCTCACAGTGTAAGGAAATATTCCACAGCAGTGTTCCAGCCTCTCCCACTGGAAGTCCTGCCTGGTTACAGGAGATAGCAGTTCAGGCTACACATCCACTCTTGCTAGAGCCTTAGAGTGGGCAGTCCTCCTTAACTCCAAGGAGTGCCAGTCACTCCGCTGCTCACCTTCTCTGCTTGTGGGAAGCTCCTGTGGAAGGAAGGACTGGAATAGAGCAGCTGTGGTGTCTCTTGCAGGCAAAGGTGGAAGAGATGAAGCAACGCACTAAGAAGCTTCTCCGAGAAAACCAGAAGCTCAAAGACAATTGCGCTGTATTGCAGGGGCCGAAACCAAACTCAGACAAACAGGCAGAGCTACAGGAGAAGGTACAGCTGCTGACCAGAAGTGTACTTGGAGCATGTCTCTCTGGCTCTACAACTTAAATTAACCCATTTCTGTTTATCTGCATGTGGGCACAGGGCTGTGATCTCTCCAGCATGTCTTGCTCCCTCTGGGTCTGGTTGGAGAAGCCCCCTTCCCAGAGCTCTGTCCAGTAGTCCTGTCTGTAGCCCCTGACTCGCTATTGACCACTTAGGTTTTTTTAAACCTATCACGGTGCCGCATCGTGATGCAGTGTAAAGGATATTCCACAGCAGTGTCACAGGAGAGAGCCAGGTCAGGCTATGCATCCACTCTCGCTAGAGTTTTACCTGGGGTTTCTACCCTTAACTGAAATGGGCCCCCCATTCCAGTTATCTCCCAGTACTGTACCCCTCCATTCACCCCACCTAACCTGATCCCCTCTGTTCCCACGCCTACCCAGCTACAGTCCACCCCGGAGATCTTCGTCTTCCCTTTCCATACGAATCCATGCATTCCTGCTTCGGCCTTCCTTGTTCCATAGACCTCTGTGGTCTGTGTAGCATGGATATTGCCACACCTTTTGAGACAGGCCTTCTGCCCTAAAATGGATGTCCGTAAACTTAGAGACCTGCCTGTCTCTTCCTCATAAATTGTGGCCTAAGTCTATTTTTCTCTGCTGGCAAAGGCAGACCTAATTCCATGATTGCACTGGCAGGCATGCCAATGTTGCGCATTCTGACTCACTGCATAGCTGCTCTGGCTGGCATGTTCCCAGGCCACTCCAGTGAATGCCAGTCCCTCGGAAGCTCCTGTGGTAGGAAGGGCAGGAATAGAGACGCTGTGGTGTCTCTTGCAGGGAAAGGAGGAAGAGATGGGGCAGCGCATTAAGAAGCTTCTCGGAGAAAACCAGCACCTGAAGGAGATGTGCGCCCTCCTCCGTCAGCAGAAGTCAGACACGCAGGCAGAGCTACGGAGGGGGCAGGCAGAGCAGGTACTGATGCTGGCCAGATGTGAACTTGGAGCAGTGTCTCTGACCCCGTGAGTCCTGGCTGTCCTGGAACTCACTCTAGACCAGGCTGGCCTTGTACACAGAGATTTACCTGATTCTGCCTCCTGAGATTAAAGGCTTCAACCGCCATCACCAGGCAGTTCTTTACATCACACCTAATATTGATTTACGAGTGAGTGGGTACCGCCTTGTGTTTCTGGATCTACGTACCTCACTCTTTTATAGTTCCATCCATTACCTTCAAATTTCATGCCAGTGTTTTTGTTTTTTGTTATGCTTTTTGGTTTGGTTTTTTTGTTATTTCAAGACAGTTTATTAGCTTTGGAGCCTTTTCTATAACTAGCTATTGTATACACAGTGATCCTTCTGTGTCTGCCTCCCGAGAACGGGATCAAAGGTGTGCACCACCACCGCCTGGTGTGGGAGGTCTTTCTGTCTATATGTTGCTTTTATTGATTAATGAATCAAGAACTGCCTTGAGCCTATGGCAGGAAGAACAGAAGTAGGCGGGGAAAGCTAGGCTGTATGCTGGGAGAGAAGGGCAGTCAGGAAAAGCCACGGAGCAGCCAGAGACAGAAAGAAGCTGGGAACTTTTATCTGGTAAACCACAGCCAAGTTTCTATATACAGAATAGAGATGGGTTAGTTGATTTGATTACATTGATCCACCTGTCTTTTTATGCCAATAAATAACACGTTTTTTAATTACTATATTTCTTAGCTCTCTTGCTGTAAAGAGGCCCCATGATCTTTAATTGTGGGGGCTGCATTTTTAGAGATTTTGTGCATTATCATATGTGTGACGTGGTGTACAGGTGGACATGGTGCTGGAGAAGTAAGTGGGAATCCTACCTACATCCTTGATCTGCAGAATAATAGGAAGTGAACTGAACCAGAGCCAGAGCCTGAGCATAGGGGACCTCAAAGCCAGCCCCAACGTGACACATTTCCTCCGTAACAGTACCACACCATCTATATAACTGATACTCCCTACAACCTTATGGATGCCAGTTACATTCAAACTACCACTATCCCATGTAGTAAATGGTTGTGTGTGCCCTATGGCACATAGAAGGGGTCCTGAAATATATCTGGGCTGGGGATGTGGCTCAGAGGTACTGTTGTGGCTGCGTCATGGAACCCCCCAAACAAGACCACCACAGAGCTGGTAATCCAACACACCGCCTCAGCGGGTGGGGAAGATTGGCCAAGGCTTCAGGGTAAGGGGATTTTAAGGAAAGAACCTGCAAGCCTTGGCTGTACAGCATTGGGTAAAAGTACCCTTTCTTCCTGGGGGCCTAGGGAGCATGGAGGGAGGGAATGAGAGGAGTGAGAGAAACTAACAGGTTGGAATCTAAAATTTGATTTAAAATTTTTTAAATTTTAGTGTGAAGTCAGTCCCCTTGGATATACCATTCTCTGCTCTGTATTTTAAAGTAGTTACTGAGTTAAAGGTGCCAGCAGAGGCATCGCTGTCCTGTTGCTATGACGCAGCCTCATGTCCTAGGCAGCATAAGGAAGAGGGGGTTCAGTTTGACCTACAGTCCCGAGGGATGAGTCCATCATTTTGGGGAGGCAGCAAGCTGCAGGAATGGTGGCAGAAGCAGGAAGCTAAGAAGCCAGGCGTCTTCTTCAGCAAGCCAGAATTTCAATGAGAGCTGGAAGTGGCCAAGGCACCCAGTGATGTACGATCTCCAGCACGTCTGCACCTTTCCATAACCATAAATGGCACCACCAGCTAGGGACCAAGTGTTCAGATGCCTGAGTCCGAGAAGGACCTTTCTTACGAAACGACTACAATGCTTAACATGCTAAAACTTGTCCTTAAAAATAATCTGCTTTGGGGCTGAAGAGATGGCTCCCCAATAGGTCCTGAGTTCAATTCCCAGCCACCACGTTGTGGCTCACAACCATCTGTATTGAGATCTGCCCTCTTCTGGCCTGAAGGAGGCATTGGAGGCACTGCAGAGCATCAGTGAGCCTAGAATATAAAGCAGAACAGCTCTATGTTTAGGAAGAAAGAGGAGCCTTTGTTTAAAAGAAGAGACTAGATTCTTAGGCTCTAGGGTAGAGCTGGTGAGCAGGGTCACTGAAGGTTCTTTGCAGTGGGGAATTGCTAGGACGGTCTTCCTTTACAGAGATTGTAACATTTTTGTTGGGTAGTTTTCCTTTATATCTTACTGTAAAATTCACTGTTTTAGGCCGAACTTGCTCAACAGAACAAGGAGCTCATTGTGAAAAACCAAGCGACGTCAGACACCACGCAACATCAACGAAGTAAAATTGGCGAGCTCCTCCAGCGTTTAACTGTAGAACAGGTAGACTACAAGATGGCAGCTACAGGATGTCTCCCTGACTCTGCCTTTTTTCTCTCTGCGTTCAGTTTCGTTTTCCAGTCTACTTATTTTGCCATTGGCCAAAGAGATTCTTTATATTAACCAGTGCTAGCAAAACATAGTCACGGCATACAGAGGGCAATCTCACATCACCTGATTCATCTTTTACATTGTCTTAAATTCTGTGCCTTTCTAAATTGTTTTCAATGGTGGCTACTAGTTTTTAAGACAGGGCTTCCCAGTGTAACTGTCCTGGTCGCCTGGATGGCAACTGGATTTCAGGCTGCTTCTGCCTCCCAAGTGCTGGGATTAAATGTACGATAATAACAACTAACTTGGCTTTTTTGTTTTGTTTGTTTTTTTGGTTTTTTGAGACAGGGTTTCTCTGTGGCTTTGGAGCCTATCCCTGGAACTAGCTCTGTAGACCAAGCTGGTCTCACAGAGCTCACAACTCACAGAGATCCACCTGCCTCTGCCTCCCAAGTGCTGGGATTAAAGGCGTGCGCCACCACCGCCCGGCCCTAACTTGGCTTTTATCCACTGAAAGCAGTGTGCCAGGTCCTCTCCAGGGTTGGGAATCACTCAGCTGCTCACCTTTCCAGCTGGTGGGAAGCTCCTGTGGAAGGAAGAGGTGGAATAGAGCGGCTGTTCTCTGTTTTGCAGAAAAAGGTGCAAGAGATGAAGCAACGCATTGAGAAGGTTCTCCGAGAAAACCAACAGCTGAAATATAGGTGCGCCAGCCTCCCTAAGCCGAACTCCGATGAAGACACGCAGGCAGAGCTGCAGAGTGAGCAGGTACAGATGCTAGCCAGAGGTGAACTTGGAGCATGTACATGAGGATGCGGTGTCTCTGACCCACTGAGTCCTGGCTGTCCTGGACTCACTCTAGACCAGGCTGTCCTTGTACACAGAGATTCACCTGGTTCTGCCTCCCAAGTGCTGAAATTAAAGGCATGAACCATGACTGCGAGGTTCTCCTGGCACCTAATTATTGACTATTACACCTAATAATTGACTTATGAGTGTATGCGTACTGTCTTTGTTTCTGGGTATCTCACTCTATTATAATATACTATTATATACAATATTATATAGTTCCATCCAATGCCTTCAAATTTCATGTCAGTGTTTTGGGGTTTTGTTATGCTTTTGGGTTGTGTTTTTTGTTTTTTGTTTTTATTTTTTGCTTTTAAGACAGGGTAGCTTTGGAGCCTTTCCTGGAACTAGCTCTGGACTAGGCTGGCCTTGAACTCACCCTTCTGTGTCTGCTTCCAAATACTGGGATTAAATGTGTGCACCACCACTGCCTGGTGTGGGAGGTCCTTCTATGTGTTGCTTTTATTGGTTAATGAATAAAGAACTGCTTTGAGCGTATGGCAGGAAGAACAGGAACAGGCGGAAAGCTAGGTTGTATGCTGGGAGAGAAGGGCAGAGTCAGGAAAAAGCCATGGAGCAGCCAGAGACAGAAGCTGGGAAGTTTAGGTGGTAAACCACGGCCATGTGGCAATATCCAAAATAGAGATGGGTTAGTTTAGGATATGAATTTAGCCAGAAATATGCTTAAGCTATTGACCAAACATTATTGCAAATACTGTTGTCTTAGTGGTATTTTGTGGCTGGGTGGCTTGGGACAAGCAAGCGGCCTCCCTCCAAAAACTACCACATTTTTCTTGTCCATTCTTCAATTGAGGGGCATTTAGGTTGTTTCCAGGTTCTGGCTATGAACTGCTATGAACATAGTTGAGCACATGACCCTGTGGATATATGCTCAAAATTGGTATTATTGGGTCTGGAGGAAGGTTGACATACAAAGGGGTTGTACCAGCTTGCATTCCCACCAGCAATGGCAGAAGTGTTCCCTTTTCCCCACAACCTCTCCAGCATAAGTTGTCATCAGTGTTTTTGATCTTGACCATTCTTACAGGTGTAAGAGGTAATCTGAGTTGTTTTGATTTGCATTTCTCTGACTAAGGATGTTGAAAATTTTCTTAAGTGTCTTTCAGCCATATAGATTCCTCTCTGAGATTTCTGTTTAGGTCTGTACTCCATTTTATTATGTGGTCTTTTGGTGTCAATAAATTTCTTAACAATTTGTTTCTCTCAGTATCTGTGCTACTGGGTTTATATTTAGGAAGTGGTTCCCTGTGCCAATGCGGTCAAGTGTACTTCCCACTTTCTCTTCTATAAGGTTCAGTGTGGCTGGCTTTATGTTGAGGTCTTTGATCGATCTGGAGCCATTTTAACTCTTGAGTGTGGTTCCGTGGCGTTTAGTTCCATTGGTCCTCCTGTCCTTATGCCAATACCAGGCTGTTTTCAGTACTGTAGCTCTGTAGTAGAGTTTGAAGTCAGGGATTGTGATGCCTCCAGAAGTTCTTTTATTGCACAGGATTGTTTTGGCTATCCTGGGTTTTTTTTTTCAAGGTCTTTGACCATTTTTGCTAGGATTTTGATGGGCATTGCATTGAATCTGTAGATTGCTTTTGATAAGATTGCCATTTTTACTATGTTCTGCCTACCCAGGAGCATGGGATATCTTTCCACTTTCTGGGTATCTTCAATTTCTTCAAAGATTTAAAGTTCTTGTCTTTTACTTGTTTGGTTAGGGTTACTCTGAGATTTTATGCTATTTGTGGCTATTGTGAAGGGTGTTGATTCTTCCTCAGCCCTTTTATCATCTGTGTACTGGAGGGATACTGGCACATTGCTTATGAGTTGTAGAAGTTTTATGAGTTGTAGAAGTTCCTTGGTAGAATTTTTGGGGTCACTAATGTAAACTCAGCAGCAAACAGTGGGAGTTTGACTTCTTTTCCAATTTGTATCCCCTCGATCTCCCTTTGGTGTCTTATTGCTCTAGCTAGGACTCTATTGAATAGATGTGGAGAGTGGACAACCTTGTCTTTTCTTCCTGATTTCAATAGAATTGCTGGGAGTTTCTCTCCGTTTAGTTTGTCTGTTGGCTTGTTGTATATTGATTGCCTTTATGTTTAGGTATGTTCCTTGTATCATGCCCAGATCAAAGAAGCATGGCTTTAGAAAACTAAGACTTACCTCTTCCTCAATATCCCTTCTCATGAGTTCAGGTTACTGTGTGTGCCCAACCGTGCATGGTACTAAAGTCTCTTTCTGTGCAGAAGGAACCGACGAGCAAGCTAGAGAAGACTGAAGAAGCAAAGAAGAGGACAGTGAAGAAACTGTCTATGGCATGTTCCCTTTCTGCATGGCTACGTGGGCGGGTGTCTGTTTTTAGGAGATGGAAAGGGATAGTAAGACATTAGGATCTTTGGATAGTGTTCACCTATGGTGCTTTGCTTTTTATCCAAAAGAACAGAGAATCTGCCTTCTGCCATTTAAGATGTTTCAGAGAGGTGGATGTGGCTGATGAATGAGTATTGAAAATTAAGCATCACAACACTAGTAATCTTTGGGTTAGGAACAAGTTAATAACCATAAAGTCATACAAAGGGAAATTATGACACAGACAATTTTGTTATTGATGTTGGCAATTATCATTAATGTTAAATCGTTCTTAGTAGTCATGGTAATGAAAAGCCTCATTAAGTAGTAACTACCTGAAGTAGCTTGTTGTAAAGGAGGCCTTGTGATGCTGACAGGTACCTGCAATCTGCTTTCTGAAGGGAGGGAAAGAAAAGGGAAGATCCTGCTGTCAGTCTCTAGCGAGAGCTGCATCTCTCTCCACCAGCATAGTTGGTCAGGTTTTGAAAACTGGATGTTTGCCAGCTCGCCCTTCCTGTCTCAGCCAGGTAGAGGTGGAGGCAAAAAGCCACAAATAGTAGCATTAGCTGGAGTGTTTGTGAGCTGTGTATGTGTACAACCCAGACGTGGGGAGTGCTGAAACAACCGGGAACTCTAGAGAAAGTCCTCCCAACCCAGACCCAAGCACCTCAGGCCTCATGGGCCTCTTTACACCTGACACAATTTTAAGGTCAGCTGAAACCACGGCATTACCGTGCCTGCTCAAGCTCTCCAGCATGTGGCTAAGTCCCCAGCACTGTCCTTCCTCCCAGAGGTTCCTCATTCCCCAACACACCCCACTCCCACCCCCCTCCCTTTGAAGCCAGTCTGTTTTGGGGGCTACTTTTCAGCCTTAAATCCTAATTCTAATCCCTTTGTTGACAGGGGCGCCCCCTCCACTTTTCTCTCCTTGATCTACCAGAAAGTGCAAACAATGCCACAGACTAGGAAGAAGAAAGAGTTGAGCCTTGGGCCCAGGGTTGGAGTAGCCCGTGGAGGTGAGAAGGCTTTCTATCAGCATCGCTCGGGATCCACTTCCTGCCAGCATTCAGTCTTCCCTGCCTTCTTCCTTAAGTTCTTCCCTTTTATTAGGTCCATTGATCCCAGTCTGTAAGTCACTTAGGAGTGCAGCCATACATGAAGGCAGAACACTGCATAGACAATAAATGAGACGATCATTAATCTCTTTAATCAAAATAAATTCTTTTTAAAGATATCGGTTCTGTTTTTTCATTCCCCCTCCCCTCCAAGACAATTTCTCTGCATAACAGCCATGGCTTTCCTAGAACTTACTCTGCAGACCAAGCTGACTTCAAACTCAGACATCCACCTGCCTCCTAAGTGCTGGGATTAAAGGCATGTTACACCATGGCCTACCTTATTTTTGGTTTTTCGATACAGGGTTTCTCTGGCTTTGGAGCCTGTCCTGGAACTAACTCTTGTAGACCAGGCTGGTCTCGAGCTCACAGATCTGCCTGCCTCTGCCTCCCGAGTGCTGGGATTAAAGGCGTGCACCACCATCGCCGGGCTAGGTTTGGTTTCTTTTTAAAGGGGGAAGGACTAGAGAGGTGGCTCAGGTTAGAGGCACTCCATGCTCTTTCAGAAGATCTGAACTCAGTTTCCAGCAGCTCCCGGGAACCTGCCTCTCTAACCTGGCCTCTGGCTTGTAAGCAGAGGTACAAACCTGAATAACAATTCCTAGCATTTTTTTTTAATATTTATTTATTTATTATGTATACAATAGTCTGTCTGTGTATGCCTGAAGGCCAGAAGAGGGCACCAGACCTCATTACAGATGGTTGTGAGCCACCATGTGGTTGCTGGGAATTGAACTCAGGACCTTTAGAAGAGCAGGCAATGCTCTTAACCACTGAGCCATCTGTCCAGCCCAATTCCTAGCATTTTTAAAGGGGGTGGTGCGATAGCTCAGTGGGTAAAGACACTGCCAAACTGGTGACCTGACCTGAATTCCATCCCGGGAACCCACATGGCGGCAGGAGAGAACTGACTCGCAAAAGTTGTTCTCTGACCGCCATACGAACACACACACTAAGTAAATGGTATTTTTACCTGAAAGAAGACCGTCCATTTATCACCTTGTATGTTAACACTTGCGGATTAGGCAAAAGGCTCTGGGAATACTACCATCTCACCGCCTTCTCAGTCAATGGAAGAGTGTACCTGGTCCTGCCTTCTCACTGACTTTCTATGCATATTGAAACAGTGAATTCTGTGCTTTATTGTTGGGGCCCACAGATGTGAGTCCGTTCCTTGTCAGAGTGAAGACAACAGGTGGCTACAGAGCAGGAGAGATCCTGACCTAGGGTATGGTTAGTGTCTTGAGTATAGAGGTATCCAGCTCCGCCTGGACCAGAGTTTGGAGATGCTCTATGCCTTGTATCAGTTAATAAAGTCCGCCTCCCCACTCCCCTTTTGGAGTGGGGTATCAAAATGTGTTTCCCTCCTGATGCTATTCTGTGTTTCATGTCTTTTCTTTCTGTTGCTTTTTGCTTAATTATGATCCCCACACTCCTTCCCTGGAACACGCCAAGTCCAGCTCAAAGACTTCTCCAAATCTGCCTAATTGAACTGTCACAAAGGCAATTCCGCTTTCTCCCGTGGCGGACCAAACTGGCACAGCTCCTGGGCATCAGCAGTTGGTCACTGCAGAGACACCTAGAAAAACTCTCTTCCTGCTGGGGCTCTCCTGATGTAACATTCATTTAGTCACTTTGATTTTAATTGTTTTCATGCATAAGATGTGTTGACGAAATCCCCTCACTCCAATTCCTTTTCTATCCCGTCTGTCCGTCCCCACCCCACCCCCCGCAGCAATTTCACACGCTCTTGTTTGTAAGTGCTCTTAGTCCTCAGGGCTACTCCCCTGGAGAAGACCGACTCTCCCTCTGCAATAGCCAATCTGACAATGTGTGACTTCACTGTCATCTACAGAGTTCACACTTAAGACCCACGCAATATTAATCCCAGCACTCGGGAGGCAGAGGCAGGTGGATCTCTGTGAGTTCGAGACCAGCCTGGTCTACAGAGCTAGTTCCAGGACGAGCTCCAAAGCCACAGAGAAACCCTGTCTCGTAAAAGACCCACGCAATAAACAAGAAATGAGAATGAAGAATTAGGGCCAATTTTGTGTTTAGACTGGTCAGAGCTATCTTCAGCCTCACGTGGTCCGTGAACCAGATTGGACAAGCCATCTAGACAACAACCCTCATCTCAGCTTTATAATAAATGAAAATGAAACAATACTGCTCCTTCTCCTGTGTCACTGAGAACTTTCACACTCTTGAGCCTTTTGTGTTACCCCCACCCCCAGAGGACCAGATGCAATGTGCAGTTGACATTTCCCAGCATGCCTTCCTGGTCCCTGTGGGGTCGCTGTGGCTCCCTAGATGGTTCTAGAGAAGAACTGCAGCTTCATTTTGTTCTAGTCAGCTCTTTATTGAGCACTTGAATGGAGAGAAGCTGGGGTGCGCATAAGATGAAATCAGCAGACACTATTTTCTGGTGAATTGCCCACCTCTTTGCCCCTGCTGCCCCGATGGTTCCCCAGATTAGCAGTGACAGCAGGCACCCTTCTACCACTGCAGGAAAACAGTTGACGTCGTAATGAGCCTTTCTGCTGGGGGTGAAACAAGCGGCTCTAACCACAGTTCATTATCTCCAGCTGCTCTTACCAAGGTTGAAAAGGGGAAACTCTGCCCCAGGCAGCTCTGAGTCATGACAGAGAATCATTCTTCAATAACCCACTGCCCGCCCGCCCGCCTGCCTTCCCCATCCCCTGTGTACCCCTGGAGTTCAAAGTTGTTTGCCAAGTGGTAGTGCCTTGGCACAGAAATGTTCTTTAGAGAAGATAAAGAGACAAGATGGCAAAGAGTCAGGGAGCCCCGAATAGCTTGAGTTCCAAGCAGTTGTGAGCTGCCGTGTGCGGGTGCTGGGATCGGACTTGGATGCCCTGGGAAGAACAAGGGTTCTTAGCTACAGTCCAGGTGTTGCCATTTTGTAGTTGTTTTTCCAGACAGATTCTCGTTATCCAGCCCTGCCTGTCCGGGTCTTGTGACCTCAGCCTTCTGGGTGTTGATTACACACCTGTGGCAACCCACCTAGAAAAGAAACATTTTGATGATTTTTGTGCTGCTGGGGTTTGAACCCAGGGCCTTGCACATTCTGGGCAAAAGCATTGCTTCTGCTGTCAAACAGCACCAGTAGGCTAAGGATCTCAGGAAAAGCAATTGTGCCAGATTGTCTTAAATGGTCTTTAAATCCATGGACAAGTGTCCTTCGAAGAAAGAATGCAACACACCAGACAGGAGGCAGCATCATGAGCCAGGAGGCGGAGTCTGGAGTGATAGAGTGAAGGATGCTGTCTGTTTTGTTTTGTTTTGTTTTGTTTTGTTTTTCAAGACAGGGTTTCTCTGTAACTTTTGGAGCCTGTCCTGGTACTAGCTCTGTAGATGAGGCTGGCCTCGAACTCATAGGGATCCGCCCGTCTCTGCCTCCCAAGCACTGGGATTAAAGGTGTGTGTCACCACTACCTGGCAAGGATGCTGTCTTAGTCACTGCTCTATTGCTGCAATGAGACACCATGACCAAGGCAAGCATTTAATTAGGGACTTGCTTACAGCTTCAGTGGAGTAGTCCGTGATCATCATGGTGGCAGGCAGGGAGAAGATATGGGGTAGGATGGCTTCCAGCCTGAATGTGAAACTGGGAAGAGCCTGTGCGGTGCGGAAACCTCGTGGAAGAAGCTGCTATACCAGTTTGATCAGTGCAAACACCAGGTACATTTCCCTGGGTCAATATTTTACATCCAGTCTCAGGATCTCATAGTGTACATCTGTTCCCTGGGTCGTCCTCTGATTCTATACTACTACATGCAAAGCTGCCAGGGCTTTCTCTGTCCTGGTGCATCTTGCTTCCTAGCCTCCCTTTTAACCCTCTAGCATCTGCCCACGCCACTGATCACTCTAAAATTTCAATTGGCTGTTCCACCCTCCACTTAGAAGTCCCTTCCAAAGCTCGTGAGCTCACGGGGACCTGGTGAACAAGTTGGCTTCTGCTCAATACAGTGACCTTATCTAGTCTTCAGCTGTAGTCCCTGCCCTCCTGCTCTGTGCTCACGTAGCTCAGGATAGCCTTGAACTCCTGATTCTTCTGCTTCTACTTGCCAAACTCCAGGAATACAGGATTGCACCAGCATGCTTGGCTTGTGCTTACTCATGACACGTCAGTTCTCTAGGACCTACATTCTAAACCAGCATCCTGCTTGCTCCCTGTACTGACTCCTGCTTCCTGCTGTCAGTCTGTGGAGCTCCGAAGACACACATTTATTAAACACCACCTCAAAACAGATGAGGAAAATGCTGAGCTTGGCGGTGTATATCTGTAATCCCAGCTAAGAAGCTAAGTCAGGCGAGTCTTAAGTTCAAGGCTAGCTTAGGTTATAACAAGACCCCTCACAAATTTAAAAAAGAATAAAACCAGCCAGGTCGAGGTGATGCAGGCCTTTGAGCTTAGTACTCAGGAGACAGAGGCAGGCACATCTCTGTGAGTTCGAGGCTGCCTGGTCTACAGTGTGAGTTCCAGGACAGCTAAGGCTGTCTCAAAAAATAAAATAAAACCACATTAAAAGGTGATAAAAATAGGATCTGGAGTGATGTCTTAGCAATTATTGCATGATCTATTCATGCAGGACCCGAATTTGACTTCTAACATCTACTTTGATGGGTGATTCAGAACTGCCTATAACTCCAGCTCCAGGGAATCTGACACACTCCTGTGGCCTCCATAGGCAGCTGTATATATGTGGCAGACATAACACAAATACATAAATTAAAATATATCGTATCTTATTATGTGTATATGTGCACTGAGTACCAGAAGAGGTCATTGGAGTCCCTAGCATTGGACTGACAGATGTTTGTGAGCCTGCAGCCAACACTCCAGGACTCTGCAAGAACAGCACATGCATTAACCACTGACCAATCTCTACAGCCCTAGGAACTCTTTATTTTTTTTAAAAAATATTTATTTACTTATTATGTATACAATGTTCTGTCTGTATGCCTGAAGGCCAGT